GTCATACATTGATCAGAACCTACCGCCTTGAAACCATCTTCCTCATTAATCACTTGCTAATATACATGTAGCGACAACTGAGATCATCAGCATAGAAAAGTTTTCAACAACGTTAAACTAACTCAGAAACGTGAATTCAGGGCAGCGATTGTGAAATGAAAGCGATCGCAGTAATTCTGCTATGCACTTCGGCATTCATCGGCTCTGAAGCCCTACTTGGCCGTACGCAAAGTGCTGGCGTTAAGGGTGTTTTGAAGTGTCACGGCAAACCACTAAGCGGTGTTAAAGTAAAACTGTACGACGATGATAGAGGTGTTCACATTTTTGCTTGCAATTAGCTCAGTTTTATTTAAATGCAGTGAGGACTGTTCGTTGAATGAAATAGAACGACATTTTCATTTAGAATTCTTATGCTAGGCCTAAAACATAATTAAATGAGAGAGTTCTTCCTCCGTGAAGCATGCATTATAGATCTTTTGAACATGGATATACAAGTGAATCCAATATATTTCAATTGATATAACGTACTGGAACGAGACTGTATGTAAGACGAACTTTTAGGAATTGATACGGATGATATGATGGCCCAAGGTAAGTCTGGAAAAGATGGCTCCTTCGAACTGCAAGGTCATACGGATGAGTTTACAACAATCGACCCAAAACTAAACGTTTATCACGATTGTGACGACGAGTTGACGGTAAAAGCTAAAATTAAAGCTNAGGATATTTCATATACCCATATTGCTCTTCTTGCACACAAATATCATTCAATTACTAATGAAACTTTTATAAGCAATATTTTCGTTCTCTCTATATAAATTAGCAAAAAACTTGATCGAACACTAACCGTTCTCAAAACATCAACACTAACAATAAAGAAATATCTCTGTGCTAGTTAGTGTGAATTCAGAGAATTCGTCGCGAATCTGTAGAAAGGTTGAGCGGAAAGCATGTGAATTTATTGTTTTTGAATTTTGATGGTTCTTTTATTGTGACAGATATCTGCAACTTGTTCGTTGCTTAGGTGGTAATTATTTGCAGCCGTGTCAACGCAAGATCTCAGTTACAATTCCGGACAAATACGTGTCGAGTGGTAAAACACCGAAGAAAATTTACGATGCCGGAGTGATCGAATTATCCGGAAAATTCAAAGGGGAGGCGCGTGATTGCCTGAATTGATCGTCCGTCAACTGCCGATTTTCTTTTGATATTTCTGAAATTCGAATAGCATAATGAATTGAATTGTCCAGTTATTTTCAATACTCATTCAAAATTTAATAAAGTCACTTCTTCGTAAACGGTCTACCGAAGTGGCAATTTCATTTGACAAGCAGGGGACATGACATGCTCACTTTGAGCATCAAAGGGGGATTAGAAATTCGGTTGGAAACAGTTTCGCATGGAAAAGAGATAGGTGAAACGATCATTCAGACAGAATGTTTCCGATGATCTCAACTAACAAGAGAATTTCCTCCCATGAAACTAATCATCGAGCTGAAGTTCTTCGCAAATGAAATTTTCGAGAAGCA